TGATATACAAACTTAAATTGATAATCTACCCAACATTATACAAACTTAAATTGATAATCTACCCAACATTGATATACAAACTTAAATTGATAATCTACCCAACATTGATATACAAACTTAAATTGATAATCTACCCAACATTGATATACAAACTTAAATTGATAATCTACCCAACATTGATAAACAAACTTAAATTGATAATCTACCCAACATTGATATACAAACTTAACATTGATGACAAATATTGATATCTACCCAACATTGATATACAAACTTAAATTGATAATCTACCCAACATTGATATACAAACTTAAATTGATACCCAACATTGATATACAAACTTAAATTGATAATCTACATTGATATACCAACATTGATAGACAAACTTAAATTGATATTCTACCCAACATTGATATACAAACTTAAATTGATATTCTACCCAACATTGATATACAAACTTAAATTGATATTCTACCCAACATTGATAGACAAACTTAAATTAATAATCTACCCAACATTGATATACAAACTTAAATTGATAATCAAACTTAAATGATAGACAAACTTAAATTGATATTCTACCCAACATTGATAGACAAGACTTACCGGTAAATTAATATTCTACCCAACATTGATATACAAACTTAAATTGATAATCTACCCAACATTGATAGACAAACTTACCCAACATTGATAGATCTACCCAACATTGATATACAAACTTAAATTGATAATTACCCAACATTGATAGACAAACTTAAATTGATATTCTACCCAACATTGATAGACAAACTTAAATTGATATTCTACCCAACATTGATAGACAAACTTAAATTGATAATCTACCCAACATTGATAGACAAACTTAAATTGATATTCTACCCAACATTGATAGACAAGACTTACCGGTAAATTAATATTCTACCCAACATTGATAGACAAACTTAAATTGATAATCTACCCAACATTGATATACAAACTTAAATTGATAATCTACCCAACATTGATATACAAACTTAAATTGATAATCTACCCAACATTGATATACAAACTTAAATTGATAATCTACCCAACATTGATATCTTAAATTACTACCCAACCAACATTGATAGACAAACTTAAATTGATAATCTACCCAACATTGATATACAAACTTAAATTGATAATCTACCCAACATTGATAACATTGTAAATTAATATTCTACCCAACATTGATATACAAACTTAAATTGATAATCTACCCAACATTGACAAACTTAAATTAATATTCTACCCAACATTGATATACAAACTTAAATTGATAATCTACCCAACATTGATATACAAACTTAAATTGATAATCTACCCAACATTGATATACAAACTTAAATTGATAATCTACCCAACATTGATAGACAAACTTAAATTGATATTCTACCCAACATTGATAGACAAACTTAAATTGATAATCTACCCAACATTGATAGACAAACTTAAATTGATATTCTACCCAACATTGATAGACAAACTTAAATTGATAACTTAAATTGATAATCTACCCAACATTGATATACAAACTTAAATTGATAATCTACCCAACATTGATAGACAAACTTAAATTGATATTCTACCCAACATTGATAGACAAACTTAAATTGATATTCTACCCAACATTGATATTGATATACAAACTTAAATTGATAATCTACCCAACATTGATAGACAAACAATTGATAACCCAACATTGATTGTAAATTAATACACCCAACATTGATATTAAATTGATAATCTACCCAACATTGATAGACAAACTTAAATTGATAATCTACCCAACATTGATATACAAACTTAAATTGATATTCTACCCAACATTGATAGACAAACTTCAATTGATATTCTACCCAACATTGATATACAAACTTAAATTGATATTCTACCCAACATTGATAGACAAGACTTACCGGTAAATTAATATTCTACCCAACATTGATATACAAACTTAAATTGATATTCTACCCAACATTGATAGACAAAACTTAAATTGATATTCTACCCAACATTGATATACAAACTTAAATTGATATTCTACCCAACATTGATATACAAACTTAAATTGATAATCTACCCAACATTGATATACAAACTTCAATTGATAATCTACCCAACATTGATATAAAAAGTTACATTGGTCTTCTAACCAATATTTTGGAACTGATCTGAAATATAAAATTGTTGACAGGAAGCCATCTTGGTTTAGAAATGAACGTTTGCCATGTCTTCAAAAGAGCTGGATAAATCTTCTCAAATTTCATACGTAGATTTCCTTTACTCCATAGTTGTACCCTTTAAATTTGGGATTTCCATACATCAATGCTAAGGTCTACATACAGACGGCTTTAGATGTCCATACAACACTACGTAGGTCTTGATACAGACGTCTTTAGATGTCCATACAACACTACGTAGGTCTACATACAGACGTCTTTAGATGTCCATACAACACTGCGTAGGTCTCCACACAGACGTCTTTTGATGTCCATACAACACTACGTAGGTCTACATACAGACGTCTTTAGATGTCCATACAACACTGTGTAGGTCTCCACACAGACGTCTTTTGATGTCCATACAACACTACGTAGGTCTACATACAGACGTCTTTAGATGTCCATACAACACTGTGTAGGTCTCCACACAGACGTCTTTTGATGTCCATACAACACTACGTAGGTCTACATACAGACGTCTTTAGATGTCCATACAACACTACGTAGGTCTCCATACAGACGTCTTTTGATGTCCATACAACACTACGTAGGTCTCCATACAGACGTCTTTTGATGTCCATACAACACTACGTAGGTCTCCATACAGACGTCTTTTGATGTCCATACAACACTACGTAGGTCTCCATACAGACGTCTTTTGATGTCCATACAACACTACGTAGGTCTCCATACAGACGTCTTTTGATGTCCATACAACACTACGTATACATCGATACACATTTCTTCAGATATATTCACACAACACATCATGAAACCGATAAAAATATATATATAATAAATATAGACGTGGCCACGCTTTACACCGTAGATCTCGATGTAAACGTCTTTCGATATGGTTGTACTGTACATAAAGCCGTAGACTTGGTGCAGATATGTTTACACAACACGCCGTAGTCCTCGATACAAACGTCTCTCGAAAGTCAAACTATAGAACACATCATAAACTCGATAGAGAACTTCAGGTAAGTCTACACAACACATCATAGACTCGATAGAGAACTTCAGGTAAGTCTACACAACACATCATAGACTCGAAAGAGAACTTCAGGTAAGTCTACACAACACATCATAGACTCGATGGAAATCTTCAGGTAAGTCTACACAACACATCATAGACTCGATGGAAATCTTCAGGTAAGTCTACACAACACATCATAGACTCGATGGAGATCTTCGGGTAAGTCTACTCAACACATCATAGACTCGATGGAGATCTTCAGGTAAGTCTACACAACACATCATAGACTCGAGGGAGACTTCAGGTAAGTCTACACAACCCATCATAGACTCGATTGAGATCTTCAGATAAGTCTACACAACACATCATAGACTCGATGGAGATCTTCAGATAAGTCTACACAATACATCATAGACTCGATGGAGATCTTCAGGTAAGTTTACACAACACATCATAGACTCGATGGAGGTCTTCAGGTAAGTCTACACAACGCATCATAGACTCGATTGAGATCTTCAGATAAGTCTACACAACACATCATAGACTCGATGAAGAACTTCAGATAGGTCTACACAACACGCCGTAGACCTCGATCGAGATCTTCAGATAAGTTTACACAACACATCATAGACTCGATGGAGATCTTCAGGTAAGTCTACTCAACACATCATAGACTCGAGGGAGAACTTCAGATAAGTCTACACAACACATCATAGACTCGATGAAGAACTTCAGATAGGTCTACACAACACGCCGTAGACCTCGATCGAGATCTTCAGGTAAGTCTACACAACACATCATACACTCGATGAAAATCTTCAGGTAAGTCTACACAACACATCATAGACTCGAGGGAGAACTTCAGATTAGTCTACACAACACATCATAGACTCGATGGAGGTCTTCAGGTAAGTCTACACAATTTGAAAGCTGACGTCGTTGAAGTTTCGACTGTCAACAGCTCGCAGAAATCTAGATAAACATCTTCTTAAGTAGATAATTATTATTGGCTGATAACCAATAGACACTATAGACAATAGACAGGGTAGAAACGCCGATAGTTCTGTAGAATAATATCAGCTCTAGACATGTATTTGATAGGAGTAGCAGATATGGGTCTAGAGTTAACCACTTAATCCATTTTTGTCTTTATAAAGAGTTGTCACGTTAGTTTCTCAAGGATGAAGTAAAATAGATTTCTTGTTTTAAAGCATATAGAATTCTAAAGAGAGGCGGAACAAGTAACTGAGAGATTCAGTAGAGAAAGGAGGCATGCACTTATATTAGTATTTGGAGACATGGTTAATAATGCCATGCTCAGTTTAGTCAATAGTCGAAAAATGATGATCAGGTTGGGATATTTTCATCCCCTTTTGTAGATGTAAAATAATCATTTAATGATTCGGCTGTGTTAATTGGTCGTGTTTTTTTAGTTCACCATTAATTCCTAGAAGTTTCGCCTTTGTTTTGGAATTTCGTTGTAACAACTGTGTGTGACATAAATTGTACAATAACATTACTAGCATTCCCGATATCATCGAACATTTAATGCGTTTGCACTATATATCTGTTGGGAGTAGTAATAACTTGTGACCAATGCCATATCGAGGTAATTGAAAGTCTATCACACAATTATTAAAAATTCATGACTAAAACTGAGGCTTATTGCTATCAGTTGTTCTTGTATATGTAAGAAATACAAATGTCTCTCTACACTTTGGTGATATTTACTTATCATAACCAAATCATTTCAATTTCCCTCTTCTATTTTAGAGATGGACCAATTAGAGTCAGTGCTTTCACAGCTTAACAAAACATCCGACCATCCAAACATGACACAGGAAAACGCGACCGATTACGCCTACGATTATGACGCAGGTCTTTACGAGAAAGGAGACCTTCTCTACTATATCGTCTATCCTATCCTTGTTCCTGTTGGTATTATCGGCAACTCCCTCTCCTTCATCGTTCTCATACAACTATCACGGTCCTCCTCCTTCTTCCTGTACCTATCCATACTGGCTTTGTCTGACCTGGCGTTCGTAGTTGTCGGAGCGATGATGAGGTGGGTAGAAGTGCTCGGAGACCTGCTCTTTTATGACGATATTACATCATACTTGTGTTCAGTCAAGTTTACATTGGTGTATGTATTCTCGCAGTTCTCTTCGTGGATTATCGTTGCTGTGACCACCGACCGTTTCATTGCCGTCTGCTTTCCATTCAAAAGAGCGACCTACTGCACTAAACGGCGTGCGTTATTTACAGCGCTCTTTTTGTTTCTGTTTATTTCTGGTATCAACTTACCAAATATTTGTTTCAAATGGGAGAATCAAGTATGTGTTTATCCAGAAATTACCTTCGATTACTGTCTGAAGTACAGCATCATGATCGACCTTCTCGCCTATTTCGTGGTGCCAGTGATCCTGATATGTATCCTCAACATTCTGACACTTCGGGTGCTGTACAGAGCGCTCATTCGTAGACGTCGACTCGTGAACCGGCAGAAGGAGGGCGATGATTGCAAAAAAACGACAGACGAAAACGACATGAAACAAATAATGGCCATGTTATTGGTTGTAAGTGGAGTTTACGTCATCACCTCCTTGCCTATGGCGTACGGAAGCATGATGGCTTGGGCGGAAGACCAGCAGATCGTCGAAACTGAGTACTCGTATCTCATGAACGTCATACTGGAGCTATCAAACACCATAAATCACTCCATCAACTTCATCCTGTATGGTATATCAGGTGCAACCTTCAGAAAAAAGGTGATCCAAATGCTTTGCTGTTGCTGCCGTAGACAGTGGAACGGCAGGTCAGGTGTAAAGAAGATCGCGAAGGAGAAATCCAACTTGTCACAAGAGGACAGCAACAAAGCGCAAAAAATCGCAAACATTGCTATAGATGAGATATAAGTACAAACATCGTAGTGAGCATCTGATCAAAGTCAGAAGGGATGAGTTAATAGTAACCCTGTTCCGTGACATTGATGTATAAAGACATTGATGTGATGACCTTCACATTGATGTATAGAGATATTGATGTGATGACCGTGACATTGATGTTATGAGATATTGATGTGATGACCGTGACATTGATGTATAGAGATATTGATGTGAGGTCTCTACCGTGACAATGATATGATGTTTATACCGCGACATTGATATGATGTCTGTATCGTGACATTGATGTGATGTCTGTATCGTGACATTGATATTATGTTTATACAATGACATTAATGTGATGTCTCTACCGTGACATTGATATGATGCATATACCGTGGCTGTAGCGTGATGTCTGTATCGTGACATTGATGGGATGTCTGTACCGTGACATTGATGTATAGAGATATTGGTGTGATGACCTTCACATTGATGTATAGAGATATTGATGTGAGGACCGTAACATTGATGTATAGTGATATCAATGTGATGACCGTGACATTGATGTATAGATATATTGATGTGATGACCGTGACATTGATGTATAGAGATATTGATGTGATGTCTGTATCGTGACATTGATGGGATATCTGTACCGTGACATTGATGTGATGTCTATATCGTGACATTGATGTATAGAGATATTGATGTGATGACCGTGACATTGATGTAAAGAGATATTGATGTGATGACCGTAACATTGATGTATTGAGATATTGATGTGATGACCGTGACATTGATGTATTGAGATATTGATGTGATGACCGTGACATTGATGTATAGAGATATTGGTGTGATGACCTTGACATTGATGTATAGAGATATTGATGTGATGACCGTGACATTGATGTAATGAGATATTGATGTGATGACCGTGACATTGATGTATAGAGATATTGGTGTGATGACCTTGACATTGATGTATAGAGATATTGATGTGATGACCGTGACATTGATGTATAGTGATATTAATGTGATGACCGTGACATTGATGTATAGAGATATTGATGTGATGTCTGTATCGTGACATTGATGGGATATCTGTACCGTGACATTGATGTGATGTCTATATCGTGACATTGATGTATAGAGATATTGATGTGATGTCTGTACCGTGACAATGATGTATAGAGATATTGATGTGATGTCAGTACCGTGAAATTGATGTGATGTCTGTATCGTGACATTGGTGTGATGTCTGTATCGTGACATTGATGTGATGTCTGTACCGTGATATTGATGTGATGTATATACAATGGCAGTGATGTGATGTTTATACCGTGATATTGATGTGATGTCTGTATCGTGACATTGATGTGATGTCTCTACCGTGACATTGATGTGATGTTTATACCGTGATATTGTTGTGATGTCTGTATCGTGACATTGATGTATAGAGATATTGATGTGATGTCTGTACCGTGACATTGATGTGATGTTTATACCGTGACATTGATGTGATGTCAGTACTGTGACATTGATGTGATGTCTGTACCGTAACATTGATGTGATGTCTGTACCGTGACATTGATATGATGTTTATACCGTGACATTGATGTGATGTTTATACCGTGACATTGATGTGATGTCAGTACTGTGACATTGATGTGATGTCTGTACCGTAACATTGATGTGATGTCTGTACCGTGACATTGATATGATGTTTATACCGAGACATTGATGTGATGTCTGTACCGTGACATTGATGTGATGTCTGTACCGTGACATTGAAGTATAGAGATATTGATGTGATGTCTGTACCGTGACATTGATGTATAGAGATATTGATGTGATGTCAGTACCGTGACATTGATGTGATATCTGTATCGTGACATTGGTGTGATGTCTGTATCGTGACATTGATGTGATGTCTGTACCGTGATATTGATGTGATGTATATACAGTGGCAGTGATGTGATATCTGTATCGTGACATTGGTGTGATGTCTGTATCGTGACATTGATGTGATGTCTGTACCGTGACATTGATGTGATGTCAGTACCGTGATATTGATGTGATGTATATACAGTGGCAGTGATGTGATATCTGTATCGTGACATTGATGTGATGTTTATACCGTGACATTGATGTGATGTCTGTACCGTGATATTGATGTGATGTATATACAGTGGCAGTGATGTGATATCTGTATCGTCCCATACAAAATGCCTCCATTATTCTGTGTGGGGTATCTTCTTTTTTTTCGGTGATGTCATCATATTGTTTCGATGTACGCAACAAACATGGCTTATCAATAAATTTTTTAAAAAAGCAACAATGTACTGAGAGCTTAAATTTGACCATTTCCGTTTTCGGAATTTCTATTATGATAAAAGGGGTCTTAGATTCGGTTTCTATGTAGTCTATGAAACTTTTCAGTATGTTTCACTTCGAATTCAGCACGTGAAAATCTCTCTAGAAATGAAAACTTATTAAGATCCATTCATAGATTACTTATCGAATAGTACTCATTCAAGATCCTATATTTGTCACACACGTGTAGCTAATTCGTTATCAGTGTAATGCATGTGTAACGCCCATCACACATTGCTTCTATGCAGTCTACACTGTTAAATATTGAACAAATCCGAGTGATCGCTACACGATCTTAAGATTTAGGATTTGCAATATAAGGCTTTAATGTCGTCATATTTTATCCTGTTTCAATCCGGGGTTTACATCACATAGTGAGTGGCATCGAAATAAGGGGGATAACCCTTACGTGCATATAGCCAATTATACAACATATTGTTTGTGTTTATCCGATGTCGCTGCTAAAAAACTAGAACAAAATGTTGTAGGCCTAGTGGAAATGAATAGAGTGTACAAAAGACCAGCATTGTTCAATGGGTATTCTATCTGTACTGGATAATAAAGTGTATGGGATGGTTATGAAATCACAGGCTGTAAATCTAGGTTGGATCAATGATGTTCCATACATGCATTAGACTGTAGCAAATAACGATAAACAGCAAGGCAAAACATTTCGGATTGCTAAACAGCGACTTCATGTTATCGGTATTTTGCATATACATTTGAGGTCACTTGAGACAAAATCTCAAGGTGGCCTTTTGCGATTCCCCTTTTGTCCTGCGTCGTGCGTCGTAAAGTTTCAACATTTTCGACTTCTTCTGGAAAACTCTAGAACCTATTTTAATGAAATTTTACAAAACCTTCAAGGATTCAGGGTACCAAAACTGTAAAGTATATGGTCCCAAACACCCAGGGGCCTGAGGGGCGGGGCCAAAAAGGGTTAAATTGATTGAAACTTCAAACATGTTTGAGTTTGAAATCCCAGGTATGGTAGAATCAAACACTTTTCATGGACGGAAAGGCTTTCAGATGCTTTACCAAAGTTGTAAATTACATGACGCAGTGTTTCACATTTCTCCTCGGTGAGGGGTAAAATTTACCATGATTTATTTAGGAAGATTACATTTTTGTTTATTTTCTTTCAGAAATAGTTCCAACCTGGTTAGAATCTTTTTTATCATTGTAAGCTGACAGTTTGATGAGATGCACATATTGACCTTGACTGGCCCCCAGGGGCTGATGGGCGGGGCAAAAATGGGTCAAATTGGCTGAAATTTTAAAGATGTTCTATTGTACCTGGATGGAATATTCTATATAGGAAAATTCAAATCCTGGGTGTAATTTCTTTTAATTCAAACTTGGTTAGAAGCCTTAGCACAGGATAGCAGTTAATGTATGCAAATTTACATTTGCATTATGTGTACAATTTAAAGTTAGATTACTTTTTTAACAAAATCATTTCTATGACATGTTACAAGAGGCATTGTGACTGAGATGACTGATAAAGACCATTGGGCCTCTTGTTCGTTATTTTGTTCTGTCACTGCGAAAGGCGGTGTTTGGTGAGCGAAAAGACAATAATTAACGTAATCTCAAGGAGTACACTAACAAAATGTCACAACTAACCACTTATCCAGTTATTTACAAAGGAGCCTGCTAGAATCTCAACGTAGTCGGCTCTGTGGAATATACAGATTATACTCGTGTTTTAAGTTAAACTTTTTATTATACTTATTCGTTATTCCCAAATCTATACTGTAAAACTAAAACACAATCACGATCTACTAATTTACACGAGTACGTGAGGCGTTATGCTGTTCAAAAGTGTGTCAGTCAATCAAAACATGTTTATTCTACGTGTGGTATGAATGCGTGTCTCATGATACTGTGACGGTCTGCGCTTCTGTATGCTTTGTTACCGGGGTTGTATCAGTGTTAGGTGTACTGTAAGAGTTATCTCTCTTAGGTGTTCTCGGTTTTTTTATTGTTTAATTTAGGTGTTTCTTAATTATTATGTAGTATAGGGTACTAGTGATAATTTGATAATTAGTAGGCGTTATGCAGTGATTTATTTAGTGTAATTATTGTAGCCTAAGCTGTGTCGTTTATTTGTACCAGGCTATGGAAGTTTAATAAAGCTGAAAAGTTATCTCTACTGGTTCCTATGTGGCTCAGGGCATGTCGTTGCGTTGGCTATCACGTAGCTCGTGGTGCCTTGTAGCGACGTAGGTGGCCAGCCCTACTGTTACATTGGTACCAGCGTGTTACTACCAACGACATGCCATAGCCAGCCTGTCAGGAACATTGAGGACCGAATACTCAGTATAACCATTAGGCCTTTACACTCTCCAAACCCTTCCATAGCCTGACCCTATACCGCCGACTGGGGATTTTGTTATACTGAATAAAGCACCCACTGTAACCAACGACTCCTGGTTTTCCTTTCGCTGGCCTGCCATCCGAACCTGCTAACCACTCTTACTGGTTGGTAAATGCTGGGACACCGACCGGTCAATCGCTACCATCGTTGAGCTGGTCCCAGACACGTTTCATGTTTTTGATGGCAGCACGCGACCCAGTCAAGGAAACGCCAAAGCATAGTCCGAGGATGGCTACCCTTCTTCAAATGTTAGAAGAACGTAACCAGTCACTCAACAGCAGAAAAAGGGGAGCGCGGAGCGGTCTGAGAAAGGCCAAGTACAAGACCCTGATAGCAGCCTAGGAAAATTATGTGGAACGAGCCATGAGTGGGCAGATGTTACGGGGACCCAGCGAGCTCCAGGTATGAGCCAGGAAGATGGCCAAGACATGTTCCCAAGCCTGCTTCCTTAGACACCAGACAAAGAGCAAAGGGAGTGCTGTACCACGATATTCCTCAGATATTGCCCTGCTGTTAGACACTGCCAGGTACCAGACACAGCTGCTTGGAAAGCTGGTCAATTTCGTAACAGCTACGGAAGGTGGGCTATCGAACCATAACAGACGGTTAAACACGTCCTCGTCTGCCAGTCTGTTGGCTCCGCCGCCATCAAAGTAGGCTCTACACAGAGCCCTAGTCTTTTCAGCCGGCGCCTGGAGGACAATACAGCGACTGGTAACACTTTTACAGCAGCCGGGGCAAAAGTGGGAGCCGGTCAAGCTAGCGGTCATCCTTGGGATACTTGTGCTCCAAGCTCGGAGGAATGGTCGAAACCAAGCCCCGTAGAACTCCCGAGACCCAGGCAAGTAAAACACTCGACTCCTATCCAGCATAGGCCAGAGGAGCACGGTTTGCCAACACAAACGCCGAGTTTTCCCACGGGTTGCCACCTGATATAGACATTCCCGCATCGCTGTCCTGCACCAAGGGCCAAGTCGTGGGTGTGGATGGCGCCCTGAGTTCACCTGCTGTCACCCATAGGAAGACTACGTTATATAAGCCTCACACCTATGATGGATCAATGCACCTTGTACATTTTGAGTCATGCGATCTCCTCAATGGGCGGAATGATAGCCAAAAAAGTTTGTTCTTGGCTGTCAGTCTAAAGGGATCAGCCAAGCAAATACTGTCAAATTTAAGCACTGGTGGTCACCCTGCACCTTATACAACACTGAAACTTGCACTTGAGAAGCGATTCGCACCACCAAACCAGCTGGATCTGTACCGAGCCAAGCTGAAGGCCAGACGGCGACAAGAGAATTAATCCCTACTGGAGCTTGGGTAGACCATTCGCCGATTGGTCCAGCTTGCTTACCCCAAAGCAGGAGACCCTATGCATGGAACATTAGCCAAAGAACAGTTCTTAGAGGTATTATCTGGCTCTGACCTGAAATTTCTGGTGTGGCAGAGGAAACCTAGCACGCTAGACGAAGCCATTCAGGCTGCAATTGAGATCGAGGCATTCCAGAGTACTAAGAGGGTATCAGCCCCAGCTGTCAGGGGTATAGCTGAGTCTAGCTCATAGGTAGAAACTGGCTCTGCCCCGATAGATATCATCTGTAACAAACTCAAGGAGGCCGTACATGACTTATCCAAGGGAGCCGGGCCGAATAGGCGTCACTTCCGACGGCGCCCCAGGAGACGTCCAGGACTGTGCCATCTGTGTGGAGCACGAGGTCACTGGAAGTCAGAGTGCCCAAGCTCGACTGAGAAGGACCCCCAGGGAGAACCTGACGACTCAGACCCCACAGTCAACATAATAGTGCATGAGGCAGGCATGTATGTGGAAAGTTTTTATTTAGGGAGAGCCCGCCATCATTTTGATTGATACTGGAGCCACCATTTCCCTATTGAGTTAAAGTCTATACCGCTCTCTGAGTCGACCACCGAAGTTAGCTAAGGGTGGCCTTCCTATTACCACCGTTAGTGGACCGAAGATGACACCAGCAGGGACAGAAAAATTTGGCGTTTCGCTAGGAGGTACCAGACGCAGTCACAATCTCGTCGTCGCCGATATACGCCCAGAAGCTATACTGGGACTTGGTTTTCTGAGAAGACACAAATGTGCCATCGATGTATCACAGAGTAACCTGAAGATAGGGGAAATGACAAGAAAATGCCACACCGTTGGTAGCTTAGGAGTTTGCCGTGTCTCCCTAGACCGTACCATTACGATCCCCGAGACCAGTGAAGTGGTCGTATCTGTACCTGTCATAGGATGCAGTGAGGACGCCAGCTACCTGATTGAACCAGCCGCCACATTCAAAGAGAAACATTCCTTACTAGCCGGCCGTACCTTTGTAAAGCTGGATGAGTCTTCCTGTGTTCCGGTGAGAGTACTGAATCCAGACCTTGAGCCGAAGACTATAGGAACTGGTACCCACGTGGGATGGATAGAGCAGGCTCAGGAACCAGAGCCGATCAAACCAGTTACCTCAGGCCTAGGACAGAAAGGGGTCCTGCCAGCGCATCTCAGCTCTCTGTTGAAGGATTGCAGCCAGAACTTGACAGCTGACCAGAACGACAGAGCTAAATCGTTTCTCCGAAGTTATGCAGGTCTCTTTGCTAGGGATGACAGTGACCTAGGGTGCACGAATCACATCCAACTCACTATTGATACAGTCAGTGCCAGGCCCATCAAACACGCGCCAGACGTGTCGCTCTACATGCACGGGATGAATTCGACAAAGAACTCAATTCAATGTTGGAGCGCAAGGTGATAGAACCCTCCACTAGCCCATGGGGTGCTGGAGTTGTCCTTGTGAGAAAGCGGGACGGCAAGCTGAGGTTTTGTGTTGACTACCGGGGTTTGAATGCAGTTACCCTCCAGGACGCCTACCCCTTGCCAAGAGTTGACGACTCCCTTGACGCACTCAGCGGCGCCACCTGGTTTTCAACAGCGGATCTGATGCCTGGGTATTGGCTGGTGGAGGTACACCCAGATCACAAGCCCAAGACAGCTTTCGCCACTAAGAGAGGACTGTTTCAATTCAATGTCCTTCCATTTGGGCTGTGCAACGCCCCTATCACCTTTGAGCGGATGACGGAGTCTGTTCTAGCTGGACTTTAGTATGAGACGTGCCTGGAGTACCTAGATGACATCATAATCTTTGGAACAACATTTGATCAACTGATTGACCGGATGGGAGAAGTGTTCGACCGCCTCATGAAGACGGGGTTCAAACTGAAGCCCAAAAAGTGCAACCTGTTTGCCAGAGAAGTAAACTTTCTTGGTCACATGGTGTCTGATAAAGGAGTCGCGACCAGTCCCGACAAGATCAAGGCTGTAACGGATTGGCCTGTTCCCTGTAATCAAACCGAATTACGAAGTTTCCTGTGCCTATGTGGGTACTACCGGAAGTTCGTACCCAACTTTGCTTCCATTGCTTCCCACTACACCGACTGTCGGAGAAAGGGCGTGATTTCAAATGGACCAGGGAATGTGAACACCTTTCTAAAACAGCGATTGACTCCTGTTCTAGCGCTGCCAAGACCAGACCTCCCATTCATCCCAGACACCGACGCCAGTGCCACCGGTATCGGAGCAGTACTGTCCCAGGAGCACCGTGAGCATGTCATCGCTTACGCTAGCAGGACCTTATCTAAGGCTGAAAGGAACTACTGCGTCACCAGGCGAGATCTTTTGGCCGGTGTCCATTTTGTCAAGCACTTTAAGTCATATCTGCTTGGCAGAAAATTCCTGACCATGGCTCCTTGACGTGGCTAATGCGCTTCAAGGAACCTGAGGGCCAACTTGCCAGGTGGTTGGAAGTTCTCTCCGGCTACAGCTTTGAAATTAAGCACCTCCCTGGCCGTAGCCACCAGACCGCTGATGCCATGTCTCGCGTCCCGTGCAGGCAATGTGGCCGCGCTTCAGCAGAACCATCAGTCAAAGCTGTGGGGTTTGACAAGGACATGAAAGACCTCCGTGAGGCCCAGGAGAAAGACGAAGACCTTGCTCTAATACGATGCTGGTTGGAGAATAACAAACGCCCAGTCTGGGACCAGGTTTCCCCACGTAATAAGACCGTGAAGGCGTTATGGGGACAGTTCTCCCGCCTGGAAGTAGCTGATGGCCTGCTTTGTAGGCGGTGGTACGCTGTCACAGGGAAGTTTGAACAATTATTGGTAATAATACCCGCCGCATTTTTTACATGAATGCCACGGAAAGAGCGTTGGTGGTCACCTGGGTGTTTACAAGACTATTTCCATGGTCAGACAGACATACACATGGCCAGGACTCCAGCAAGATGTCCGACGGTGGTGCAGAAGTTGCTCAACTTGTATGTCCAGGAAGAGGTACGGACCTAAACCAAGGGTCCCACTCAAGAACATGGCAGCTGGTGAACCTGGGGAGCGCATTTTCTTAGACCTCATAGGGCCATTACCCAAAACCGACCAAGGAAATGCCTATATTCTCGATATAGGTGACCACTTCACCAAGTGGATGGAGGCTGTACCACTTCCTAACATGGAGACTACCACCTGTGCCAAAGCTCTGATTGACACCTTTATTTCCCGTTTTGGCGTTCCTCAAGTCCTTCATTCTGACCGGGGCAGGCAGTTTGAGAGTGCCGTATTTAGGGAAATATGCGAGCTGCTCGGTATACACAAAACTCGGACAACCTCATATCATGCCCAATCTAATGGCTTGATTCAGCGTTTCAATCGCACACTTGAGAACATGCTCTCCTCTTATGTGAAGGAGGACCAGACAGACTGGGACTATCATCTCCCGCTGGTTCTCATGGCGTACCGTGCTGCAGAACAAAAGTCGACTGGCTTTTCCCCAAACCAACTGATGTTAGGACGTGAGGTAACGTTGCCGCTCGAGCTTGTATTGGAAAGAGCCCCCGAGAGAATCTTATGTGGGTCACCAGGAATGGGTCAGCAGATTCCATGACCGGATGGTTGCCGTCCATAAGATAGCCAGGGAACACCTAGGACACAGCCTCAGGCGCCAGAAGAAACTGTATGATGTCAGAACCCATTCCCGGAAGTACAAAGCTGATGATAGGGTACTTCTGTATAGCGGCCACAAGAGGTTTGGGCGGTCACCCAAGCTTCAACTACACTGGAAAGAAGGCTATCGGATCCTAGAAGCTATTGATGATGTTACATATCGCGTGTAGAAGGGAAACCTGCGTCCTGACATCATCCATCATGACCGACTCCGCCCTCTACCTGAACGGAGCGGAGATTTGACTATAGACCCGATGGAGATTGGGAGTGTAGCCGATCGGGACGTTGGTTCTGATGCCAGCAGTGTCTGTGATGAACCTGAGGCGGACCCTAGTGCCGAAAGTTCCCCTGCTGAAACAAAGACCAGAGTTGGCAGAGAGCCAAAGCGGCCAGCTCGTCTAAATGAATATGTCCTGTACCGAGTCGACATGTAGTTACCAAGTTTACTTTGGCAATCATCCAAGCGTCACTAATCCAGTAACCCTTTGATGTTGTTAATCTTTGATGTTGCTGTGAAAACTTCGTGCATTGTGTTGACATACCTCTGCCTGGATGCCCGGAGACCATTCCAACGTTAGCAGTCAAAGCGGCAACACACGAAGGCGAGAAGTCACCCTGACATGTCAAGCTTGTGCGATGGGAAGGACCTGGTGTTTAAGTACCCATGCTGTTTATGTGGTAAACGATACAAATACGCTGAGGGACTAGGGAAGCATATACGAGAGGAACACCCAGCAGGCAGCCACATTCCAGATCATCAGCAGATCCAGTCTCTAGATCAGTCAGCCGGGTCAAGGCCCTCTACTCCAGATAGGGATTTTACCTTAAGCGACAGTCCGGTCATTCGACTGCTGGATGTATCCGAAGTTAGTGAGGAGAGTCCTAAGGATCTAGGTCGACAGACAGCATCAGCTCCCACTTCCCAGCCAAATTTGTATAGGAAGAGGGGGACCCAGGTGGAACGGAAGTATAAGGATAGAGGAGCCAGCCCACGTCTTGAAGCTCGCCAGGATGCCGGTGTTTAGACTGAGGCCCTCAGTACTACCCGTAAAACTACTGTCCGCCGCTGGAAGGAACATGTCGATGGACGTCGTGTGCATGTGGAGGAGACAACACTAGAGGAGTTCTGAGCGCGATATTAGCAGTAATTCTTTGGTAGATGGGGATAGGGGTTAGGTGCAAGCGTTATGCATTTTTTTTTTGGGGGGGGGGGGGGGGGATGGGGGGAGGTATGGGGTGTGGGTGCAGAGCAGTCACACCTCGGGACGAGGTGTATCGGCGGCGTGGGTTGTGTGACGGTCCGCGCTTCTGTATGCTTTGTTACCGGTGTTTTATCAGTGTTAGGTGTACTGAAAGAGTTATCTCTCTTAGGTGTTTTCGTTTTTTTTTTTTTTGTTGTTTAATAGTAGTAGGTCCTTGTTAATGATGTACAAGTATTTCTTAGTTAATTGCCTCCAAATTTTTCAGCGAAAAGTTGTCCTGATCTGTAAGCAAGAGAATGTAAGAACACTGCATGCTCTTGTACCTTCATCTTACTACCAATGATCGAATAATTTTAAGAATTTGGTTTTGAGTTATCATGCTGTTTGGATAAATATGCCCTAAAAGATTAACCATATTTTCCTCCTTTATGATAAAGGTCTCTCTGTATAAAATTGATCTTACAACACAGTATAAACATGTTATAAACATTGCAGAATTTTAGAAACAGCCATTGAGAAGGATTAGCTGTACGTCTCTCAGGGACATATAAACATAGGGATTGGAAACAATCGAAAACTTAAAACAATTGGAAACATGAAGAATCAATGAGTAGGAAAACCTGTATCTAACCAACTACATCTATAACCTAGGTCTGTCTAGACCTGTATCATGGATATTGTATATCAGGCATCCATAAATAGCAACAAACACAGAAGTTTGGGTTTCCAGATATCAATAAGTTAACATTTTGAAAGTAAGTTTTTAATATTTATGAAAAGAAAAAAAATGAAAAATGAAGTCTAAACCGAAAATTAAAATTAGACAGAATGGGCATATAATAGACGTACTATATGACGCCCTCGATAGATAGATAGTGACTTTTTCCACAAAAGAAATGGTACCGAATGTTGGCAAAATATAAAGTTCAAAACGTGTAGTTTTGGAAGTTTTGCCAAAATTTACACCAATACACATTTACTGGGTGTGGCCAGAGACGTATGTAAAGTTGTCAAGTTTTTTTTAAAGAACAACGACGTGTACTGTGCTGACTTATTCCATTTATTCTATGTTGTACAGAATACAATTAAAACCCTACAAAGACATTTATTCTATGTTGTACAGAATACAATTAAAACCCTACAAAGACATTTATTCTATGTTGTACAGAATACAATTAAAACCCTACAAAGACATAATACAATCAATTACATAATGAAACATTGTCTACATTCATAACATGATGTACGTCCAGTAAATACATATTTAATACATTCACACTTAATACTTTATTCTAAATAGGAATATCAATAGGCCTCAGCTTTACGCTTATTAGTATATATAAGTAGATCGTGGTCTACAGGAAACTGCTTACAACTTATAATGTGTTAACTACGTCTCTGATCGAACAAACTAATCCTCACTAAAATTGCAAATTAAGTTTCCTGCCACCTAACAATGAACCAGTCCTTAAACGTGTTCCATTTTAACTCGTACTGGATATCATAACATATTCCGGAGTTATATGGGTGCGGTGACCCTCATTTCGGAGAAACTATGAAAGTTTAGGCCTATGACAATTCAGTTTGTTGTTTTCGGACAGGTGCCAAATGGTCCGGTTCTGTTCGCCTTTATGCGTCAAGGGAGTTAACTCCAACCGAAAAGTGAGTATACTGAGGTTCAGGTTTATAATTACCTTCTTTGAATTGCTTGTTGAAATAATTAAAACATTTTAAAGATTAAAAATAAAGAACAAGTAAGTGTCTGTAATTTGAAACCTATCATATGATCACCGCATAAATTGCATGAATCAGGTATGCCTAAACGTTTGTTTCTTTAGGAAATATTTCAAGCGTACGTTGGACAACGGTTAGAAGGGAAGTCCCCAAATACGTGTTAGCAAATACAAATGATAATGAAAGTAAACAAATATATTGTATTATCCTAAAATGGAAATTCTTTATTTCGAAGAACACGGAAGTAAAAATGGGGAATATGTTTTCCAATGAATCTAGCTCTACATTATAGATATATCGTTACGTTGCACTTCGCCGTGGGTAAAGTTGTTTACCGATGATAACTTATACACTGAGATAATCAGGATGCAACTATAAATAGAACGGAACAGTAAGAGGAAGGCAAAGGTACGTAAGAAGGATAAGATTTTTGTTAGTCTTTTAACTTGAAGGAAATTGTTTAAAGGAACTGTGGTGGTTAAATATCATGTGATACTATACATGTGGACTCCATACTGTGTTTCATATCCAGGATTGAAAGTATTTCAGTTTAGACCAGCGTTTATTAACGACTACAATATGTTTCTTTGTGTAATATAAAGAGTTGTAGAACGTCAAATCATGGTTATATATATTGTTTTGCTATAAACCAAACAGATTTCCTTTGTATATCATAAAACTTGTTGATAAACCTAAACTTTATATATACATATAAAAAATGACAGGTTGGGGTATATAATTTTGTTTCAAGCAATAAAAAAAGTTCATTAAACTTTTGGTTGGTTGTGTAGATGTTCAGGCCAACAAATGATTTGTCTATCATACGATTACCATGGTAAATACTAAAACTGCATTACTAGGGAGAAATTCTTTTTAATTCAACTGGGTGAGTGTAACAGGCACCTAAGTCTAAGCTAGTTAACCAGAGGTCCTGGGTTCAATCCCTAGCGGAGACATTGAAAGAAGTTAATTACCTTAAGCTTTCTTATATTAATACTCTTGTATAGGGACTTGGCAAAACCTGATACTAATCAGATTGTACCAAAGGCATCGCTGTAACCCTTGGAAACTTGCGGGCAATGTGTTTGATGGAGGTGGTCCTTTGAGTATTATTTGCTTTAAACAATTTATTATGTAAATATCTATATTTGGATTATACCTAGCATAGTCTCTACTAAAACTCTCCATTTCTGGTCATTATACATATGCATCATGTTTTAAGTAACAAGTATGATCATTTGATCTCGTATGCATATATCTTTAGCATTATTATTATAAATTAAGGTTAAATATAACATCTGAAAACTAATCATACATCGTATTTTGAGGATGAGTACACCACTTACATACAACAAATATGTGCACATAAAACATAAGATATATACATTGTTCTAAAGATTTATAACAAAACTACATTTCATACCCCAAAATGATAGAAAGCATAACAAAACCCATATCACCAATTATTCACTCATACCAAAAGACAAAACACATGCACTCATTACCATATAACAATTAATGTACACTTATACTGAAAGACAACACAAAACAATAAACACATTCATGTGCTATACACACTTACTGAACACACAGTGATAATAGAAACACATTCATTTATCTGCCATAACCACTATACACGAGATAATTCTTTATAGATAACTTCAGACATTAATGAAACATCCATAATTATAATAATTATTATATCATCACAGTATTTGTTATAACCTAAATTACTTACCATATTCCTGACATAGGATTACATTGAGATTCCTAGAAGTACAACATATGAAGGTGTTTACATCATCATCGTCATCAAATACAGTCACTCTGTTAAATCATTTATAAAAGTTCATACAGAGGGTGATTCTACATCATAACACTCTAATCGGTTCCAGTTGTAAATCTTGTTGGAAGAAAGCTAACATTTTGATGAATATTAGTTTGAGAAAAAATGTATGTTAAAGAATTTTTGATTTCTCAGTCTGTAGTTACCGGGTTGATTAGAATTAATATAAAGTTGTTTTATTTCATTAAGATAATTAGGTGTCATGCGATTAATGGTTTTGTACTGTATAAGGATCAGACTTTTATCTCTTCTAGCTTTAATAATGTATAATTTTGTTTCATGGTACAAAATTTAGAAAGAATTATCAGAAATGTCATATTTCCTAAGCTTATACAAAAGACGTTATGTCATACCCTATCAAAAGTTCTGCTTATATCTGAAATGCAGACCTGTAAACACATCAATGCTTAGAGACAGGTTCTCTTTAGCTTGATGAGCCAAATCTACAACGTTTAATCCCTAGCAAAGACACTGAATTAAAATATAACAAATTAATACACTACAAATAATCAGAAATGTCAAACTGTGGACACAAACACATATGTTTGTTTTCATTGGCATTATAGCTTTATTTAATCAAGCACATGTTCAAATTCTGTAGATATGATAATTATATAATTAAAACATTGCAGATTTGAATATCCAAATTTCAGTCAATATGATGTGTTTTACTTTATTAAACCATATTTGTTGTGTTTCACCTGTGGGATAGAATTGTTGTTGAAATTTCATTTACGCAACTCAAAAGTTGATTTATCGTGGATTAGTTTTCTTTGTCTTTGCTCTTCACAGATTTAAAATTCAGAATGACTTTGAAATGGAGCTAGGTTTCCAAGCATCGTCAGATAAGTTTGTGCTGCTTTCTCAGGCAGAGGCAGATTCATTAAAGAGTAAAGCCAAAGGAGCACATAACCTTAACCTCCATCTCCAAGAGAATGACATAGAACTACGCAAGGAAAGAAAGCGATCAAAAGAGCTGGAGAAATGCCTTCTAGAAGCTCACAAACGTATTGGAGAGTTGACTCTTGAGCGGAAAGATGTAATCACTCAACAAAGGACAAAAAATAGTGATAGCAGCTGTCCAGAATCATCTGTCTCACAGTTTGAATCCTCCAGTCCTCATCTGTCTTCTACTGAGTCTAGCTTACAGGTAGATGGAGGACCTCTGTCTTATAATACAGGTCACACCAAGGACAAATCAAGACATCAAATGATACCACATCAAGTGACATACCCAAAACCACGTGTATTCAAATTTGGGAATGAAATAGACTCAGTGATAAAAGAAAATTCTGATTCCATGATGAAGGAAAAATTGACGGATGCTTCAAAACGTGACAATGACTGTAAAGACTCTGTTAAAGAGCCTGTAGCAGGAGTTTCAGTTCATTACTTCAACAATTTGAAAATGGAACTTATCAAAACAAAGAAAGAATTAAAGCGAGTTCTCCAACAGAAACATACAGATCTGAATCAAGTTGAGGTTTGTAGAGGATAAACTTTTCAGTGTATTTAATCAAAGTCATTAAGATACTTCTCAACCAACTGCATTTGTTGTTCATTATTTATCCATTTAAACAATTCTGAAACATATATTGGTACTTAAGCTTTTGATACGCAATAAGAATCATATTTTGCAAGAAGTTTGCCATCTAATGTATGCATGAGGATGTGTTTGGATGAGTTTGGCTGCCATGTTAAAGTTATCAAAACTATTGAAAGCTAGAGATAGTTTCAATCAACATTCATGACCTATCATTTGAAAGCTATTGAGAAAGTTAGACAATTCCGCTACCTGTTTGAAATCATTATATATATATATTCAATCATATTGACAAGAATTTATACTGAAGTGTTCCCCTGAAGTATTACATAATAAGTATTCCTCAAAAGTGAAGTATTTTATGATCAGTATTCCTCAGAAGTATTTTATGATCAGTATTCCTCAGAAGTATTTTATGATCAGTATTCCTCAGAGGTATTTTATGATCAGTATTCCTCAGAAGTATTTTATGATCAGTATTCCTCAGAAGTATTTTATGATCAGTATTCCTCAGAAGTGTTTTATGATCAGTATTACCAAGGTGTTTTATGATCAGTATTACCAAGGTGTTTTATGATCTGTATTCCTCAGAAGTATTTTATGATCAGTATTCCTCAGAGGTGTTTTATGATCAGTATTACCAAGGTGTTTTATGATCAGTATTACCAAGGTGTTTTATGATCAGTATTACCAAGGTGTTTTATGATCAGTATTACCAAGGTGTTTTATGATCAGTATTACCAAGGTGTTTTATGATCTGTATTCCTCAGAAGTATTTTATGATCAGTATTCCTCAGAAGTATTTTATGATCAGTATTCCTCAGAAGTATTTTATGATCAGTATTCCTCAGAAGTATTTTATGATCAGTATTACCAAGGTGTTTTATGATCAGTATTCCTCAGAAGTATTTTATGATCAGTATTCCTCAGAGGTGTTTTATGATCAGTATTATCAAGGTGGTTTATGATCAGTATTACCAAGGTGTTTTATGATCAGTATTACCAAGGTATTTTATGATCTGTATTCCTCAGAAGTATTTTATGATCAGTATTACCAAGGTGTTTTATGATCAGTATTACCAAGGTGTTTTATGATCAGTATTACCAAGGTGTTTTATGATCAGTATTACCAAGGTGTTTTATGATCAGTATTCCTCAGAAGTATTTTATGATCAGTATTACCAAGGTGTTTTATGATCAGTATTCCTCAGAGGTATTTTATGATCAGTATTCCTCAGAGGTGTTTTATGATCAGTATTCCTCAGAGGTATTTTATGATCAGTATTCCTCAGAGGTGTTTTATGATCAGTATTCCTCAGAAGTATTTTATGATCAGTATTCCTCAGAGGTATTTTATGATCAGTATTACCAAGGTGTTTTATGATCAGTATTACCAAGGTGTTTTATGATCAGTATTCCTCAGAGGTGTTTTATGATCAGTATTACCAAGGTATTTTATGATCAGTATTCCTCAGAGGTGTTTTATGATCAGTATTACCAAGGTATTTTATGATCAGTATTACCAAGGTGTTTTATGATCAGTATTACCAAGGTGTTTTATGATCAGTATTCCTCAGAGGTGTTTTATGATCAGTATTCCTCAGAGGTGTTTTATGATCAGTATTACCAAGGTGTTTTATGATCAGTATTACCAAGGTATTTTATGATCAGTATTCCTCAGAGGTGTTTTATGATCAGTATTACCAAGGTATTTTATGATCAGTATTACCAAGGTGTTTTATGATCAGTATTACCAAGGTGTTTTATGATCAGTATTCCTCAGAAGTATTTTATGATCAGTATTACCAAGGTGTTTTATGATCAGTATTACCAAGGTGTTTTATGATCAGTATTCCTCAGAGGTATTTTATGATCAGTATTCCTCAGAGGTATTTTATGATCAGTATTACCAAGGTGTTTTATGATCAGTATTACCAAGGTGTTTTATGATCAGTATTACCAAGGTGTTTTATGATCAGTATTCCTCAGAAGTATTTTATGATCAGTATTCCTCAGAGGTATTTTATGATCAGTATTACCAAGGTGTTTTATGATCAGTATTACCAAGGTGTTTTATGATCAGTATTACCAAGGTATTTTATGATCAGTATTCCTCAGAGGTGTTTTATGATCAGTATTCCTCAGAGGTATTTTATGATCAGTATGATCAGGTATTTTATATCAGTATTCCCAAGGTGTTTTATGATCAGTATTCCTAGAGGTATTTTATGATCAGTATTCCAAGGTGTTTTATGATCAGAGGTGTTTTATGATTCAGAGGTGTTTTATGATCAGTATTACCAAGGTGTTTTATGATCAGTATTACGAAGGTATTTTATGATCAGTATTACCAAGGTGTTTTATGATCAGTATTCCTCAGAAGTATTTTATGATCAGTATTACCAAGGTGTTTTATGATCAGTATTCCTCAGAAGATCAGTATTCCTCAGAAGTATTTTATGATCAGTATTCCTCAGAGGTATTTTATGATCAGTATTACCAAGGTGTTTTATGATCAGTGTTCCTCAGAGGTGTTTTATGATCAGTATTACCAAGGTGTTTTATGATCAGTATTACCAAGGTGTTTTATGATCAGTATTCCTCAGAGGTGTTTTATGATCAGTATTCCTCAGAAGTATTTTATGATCAGTATTACCAAGGTATTTTATGATCTGTATTCCTCAGAAGTATTTTATGATCAGTATTCCTCAGAAGTATTTTATGATCAGTATTCCTCAGAAGTCAGTATTACCAAGGTGTTTTATATGTATTACCAAGGTATTTTATGATCAGTATTCCTCAAGGTGTTTTATGATCAGTAGGTGTTTTATGATCAGTATTCCTCAGAGGTGTTTTATGATCAGTATTAGGTATCAGTATTACTCAGAGGTATTTTATGATCAGTATTACCAAGGTGTTTTATGATCAGTATTACCAAGGTGTTTTATGATCAATTACCAAGGTGTTTTATGATCAGTATTACCAAGGTGTTTTATGATCAGTATTCCTCAGAGGTATTTTATGTCAGTTTATGATCAGTATTACCAAGGTGTTTTATGATCAGTATTCCTCAGAGGTGTTTTATGATCAGTATTACCAAGGTGTTTTATGATCAGTATTCCTCAGAGGTATTTTATGATCAGTATTACCAAGGTGTTTTATGATCAGTATTACCAAGGTGTTTTATGATCAGTATTACCAAGGTGTTTTATGATCAGTATTACCAAGGTGTTTTATGATCAGTATTCCTCAGAGGTGTTTTATGATCAGTATTACCAAGGTGTTTTATGATCAGTATTACCAAGGTGTTTTATGATCAGTATTACCAAGGTGTTTTATGATCAGTATTCCTCAGAGGTATTTTATGATCAGTATTCCTCAGAGGTATTTTATGATCAGTATTCCTCAGAGGTGTTTTATGATCAGTATTATCAAGGTGTTTTATGATCAGTATTACCAAGGTGTTTTATGATCAGTATTACCAAGGTATTTTATGATCAGTATTACCATTTTAGGTATTTTATGATCAGTATTACCAAGGTGTTTTATGATCAGTATTACCAAGGTATTTTATGATCAGTATTACCAAGGTATTTTTATTAGGTGTTTTATGATTATTCCCAAGGTGTTTTATGATCAGTATTCCTCAGAGGTGTTTTATGATCAGTATTACCAAGGTATTTTATGATCAGTATTACCAAGGTGTTTTATGATCAGTATTACCAAGGTGTTTTATGATCAGTATTACCAAGGTGTTTTATGATCAGTATTACCAAGGTGTTTTATGATCAGTATTCCTCAGAGGTGTTTTTATGATCAGTATTACCAAGGTATTTTATGATCAGTATTACCAAGGTGTTTTATGATCAGTATTACCAAGGTATTTTATGATCAGTATTACCAAGGTGTTTTATGATCAGTATTACCAAGGTGTTTTATGATCAGTATTACCAAGGTGTTTTATGATCAGTATTACCAAGGTATTTTATGATCAGTATTACCAAGGTGTTTTATGATCAGTATTCCTCAGAGGTATTTTATGATCAGTATTACCAAGGTGTTTTATGATCAGTATTACCAAGGTGTTTTATGATCAGTATTACCAAGGTGTTTTATGATCAGTATTACCAAGGTGTTTTATGATCAGTATTACCAAGGTGTTTTATAGTATACCAAGGTATTTTATGATCAGTATTACCAAGGTGTTTTATGATCAGTATTACCAAGGTGTTTTATGATCAAGGTGTTTTATGATCAGTATTACCAAGGTGTTTTATGATCAGTATTTTATACCAAGGTGTTTTATGATCAGTATTACCAAGGTGTTTTATGATCAGTATTCCTCAGAGGTGTTTTATGATCAGTATTACCAAGGTGTTTTATGATCAGTATTACCAAGGTGTTTTATGATCAGTATTACCAAGGTGTTTTATGATCAGTATTACCAAGGTGTTTTATGATCAGTATTCTTCAGAGGTGTTTTATGATCAGTATTCCTCAGAGGTATTTTATGATCAGTATTACGAAGGTATTTTATGATCAGTATTCCTCAAGGTGTTTTATGATCAGTATTACCAGAGGTGTTTTATGATCAGTATTACCAGAGGTGTTTTATGATCAGTATTCCTCAGAGGTATTTTATGATCAGTATTCCTCAGAGGTGTTTTATGATCAGTATTACCAAGGTGTTTTATGATCAGTATTACCTCAGAAGTATTTTATGATCAGTATTACCTAGGTATTTTATGATCAGGTGTTTTATGATCAGTATTACCAAGGTGTTTTATGATCAGTATTCCTCAGAAGTATTTTATGATCAGTATTACCAAGGTATTTTATGATCAGTATTACCAAGGTGTTTTATGATCAGTATTACCAAGGTGTTTTATGATCAGTATTACCAAGGTGTTTTATGATCAGTATTACCAAGGTGTTTTATGATCTGTATTCCTCAGAAGTATTTTATGATCAGTATTCCTCAGAAGTATTTTATGATCAGTATTCCTCAGAGGTGTTTTATGATCAGTATTACCAAGGTGTTTTATGATCTGTATTCCTCAGAGGTATTTTATGATCTGTATTCCTCAGAAGTATTTTATAATCAGTATTCCTCTGAAGATGACAATCACATTTTCTGTAATTCATTAACCAAGAATTCACAGTAAATTTTAAACAACATTTTACTTTCTTAGTCTAAGTAGTCTGACCCTAATGGCAACTTAGTTTAGTCAGCTGTTAAACTCTCTAAAATGTTATATAAGTCTAATTTGTAGAAACTTGATTGTTCTCACTGTTTTGTTAAAATCTTTCTCCTCATGCCAGTATCTTGCATATAAGTAAGTCACCTTGCGAAATGCAGCTAGCCACAGGACTATTTAACATAAAGATGACTTTTGAAGATCAATATATGTTGGTCGTGACAGATGGACAGACATTAAAGTCAAATATCCTATATAATCCTAGTTGTTGATAGTCTTGACAGATGGACAGACATTAAAGTCAAATATGCTATATAATCCTAGCTATTGTTGGTCTTGATAGATGGACAGACATTTGTCAAATATCCTATATAATCCTAGCCATTGTTGGCTTTGACAGATGGACAGACATTAAAGTCAAATATGCTATATAATCCTAGCTATTGTTGGTCATGACAGATGGACAGATATTTGTCAAATATCCTATATAATCCTAGCTATTGTTGGTCTTGATAGATGGACAGACATTTGTCAAATATCCTATACAATCCTAGCTATTGTTGGTCTTGATAGATGGACAGACATTAAAGTCAAATATGCTATATAATCCTAGCTATTGTTGGTCTTGATAGATGGACAGACATTTGTCAAATATCCTATACAATCCTAGCTATTGTTGGTCTTGATAGATGGACAGACATTAAAGTCAAATATGCTATATAATCCTAGCTATTGTTGGTCATGACAGATGGACAGATATTTGTCAAATATCCTATATAATCCTAGCTATTGTTGGTCTTGATAGATGGACAGACATTTGTCAAATATCCTATACAATCCTAGCTATTGTAGGTCTTGACAGATGGACAGACATTAAAGTCAAATATCCTATACAATCCGTTATTATTGGTCATGACAGATGGATAGACAATAAAGTCAAATATCCTATATAATCCTAGCTATGGTTGGTCTTGACAGATGGACAGACAATAAAGTCAAATATCTTATATAATCCTAGCTGTTGTTGGTCTTGACAGATGGACAGACATTTGTCAAATATCCTATATAATCCTAGTTGTTGATAGTCTTGACAGATGGACAGATATTTGTCAAATATCCTATATAATCCTAGCTATTGTTGGTCATGACGGATGGACGGACGTCAAAGTCAAATATCCTTTTTAATCCTAGCTATGGTTGGTCTTGACAGATGGACAGACATTTGTCAAATATCCTATATAATCCTAGCTATGGTTGGTCTTGACAGATGGACAGACATTTGTCAAATATCCTATATAATCCTAGCTATGGTTGGTCTTGTCACTTAATTTAGATATCGCCATGTGTTATTTATACATTTAAAACTAACTATAGCTAGAATCCATGGCATACATGTACAATATTATATAAATATGATTTATAGTTACAGTGTCATATGGGGCCTGGAAAGGATTGTTTTTCATGCAAGTATAGGAATGTTTTGCCAATTATAAACTATAACATTGTGAAAAAGACGTAGGATGTTTAGAGCAAGAACTTTCACTCACCCTTTCTCACTACAGCTGAATATAGCCACAGTAAATCGGTGTAAACTTTGGACTTAGGAAAGATTCTGTATCAAAACGTAAACTTATCCAATAAGATCTTTAGATGTATACATCTTCTGTCAAACTTGTTAAAGATCAAGTTTTTGTGGTCTTGTGTACTCTTCTATTTTAAAGTAGTATATCTGGAACTTAGCTAAAATTGTTTAAGCTAAATTGATGTACTTACAGTTACAAAGGCATATGCATCAGGAGAGAGAAGTTTTGGAGGGACAGTTAAGAGAGATGAAAAAAGACCGAGATATGCATGTGGAGCAAGTTCAAAGCCTTCAAAAAGACGTCACCTTTTATAAGACAAAGCTTCATCAAAATATAGAGGGGGCCACAGTGGACAGTGAGTCTTGTGGTTCCTTGTCATCAAGATGCCTGTATGACTCTACCAAGGATACAGAGTCCAGAATGTCTGATAGTTCCTGCCAGACAAGTCCCTTTCTTAGGCCATTGGTGTCCCCAAACTGCAGCAGTAGCAATAGCAAAAGGACAGAGGAGAGAGTTAATGGAAAACATGTTAGTTTCACAGCGTTTTCAGTTTTGAAAACTATGACTGGTATTTTACTGAGTAACACTCTTTCTTCTTATTTATAGAACATCTCTTCTAAGAAAGGTTAGAGTACTTTAATTTAGAATTTGAGAATTTAAGTGATTAGCACAATAAAACATTTTAGAAGTTTTGTCCTACTTTTTTTCCTAAAGGCCTACACATAGTTATTAATTGTGATGATTCATTAATGTGAAAACAGTACATCTGACACTATACCCATCCCTTTCATCTGACTCAACGGGTTATGGTGACATAAAGCCATCATGTTTTGTCATGTGCAGTGCACAGTGTGTAAACTTTCTATTCAAATGATTTCTTTTCAATAACTTCTCAATAACCTTTCAGTGCTTTTAAAGGCCCAGGTTACTGATAGTAGGCCCGGGGCATGCTGGAATGAAGGGGTAGCAAATTTATTCAGATGAATGACCTTGTCCCACATTCAAGGTCATAGTGATCAAATAGGTTAACTTCTTAATAACCAAAAGGTCCAGGCTATAGATGTTGTTTCTATAATATTATTGGATGAAGGACAATTAAATTCATTAAAATGATTGACCTTGACCCACTTTCAAGGTCACTGGGGTCAAAAATATTGACTTTCCTCCATCACAGTCCTTGGTATTGGTATTTGTGTAGTAGGATGCATTTAGAAAAGGATTTCAGTTTTGCAGAAATTTACTTTGTAATGTCTTCTTTGTAAGCTTTAAAACAGGTGAGCAATTCAGGCCCATTTGGTGGCTGTCATTTATGTCTTTGTAGCCAAATGACCGTTTAGGTCCATGGAATTTTGTCCATTTAGAGAAAGATCTCAATCAAAGTCCCTGTAAAGCATCTCTGATCTTGAGAATGTGTATTGTAATATAAGGAAGGAGGGTGCATTTAACTTCCCACAATCTGATGTTGAGTTGGGAGCATTTTGGGTACTGAAGACTTTTTTTTTTGTTGTATTAGGAAAGTTGTCCCCTGGGTTGATGAAAGGAAAATATTTGTGTTATTGTTATTTTTGGATGCTTCTTGTTTATAGATGACTGATATGAGATTGTCACCGGATCAAGCACAGGTAATGAAGGACACTCAGAATCAGATACAGAGGCTGACGAAGCAACTGGAGGATCAGCAGTTACTTTATGAACAGGTCATCAGAGAGAACAAGGTATACAATGTTATCATAAAAAATGTTGACCTTTAAAGTCATTAGAACCAGACAGTATAGACAATGCAGCAAGGTCTACAGTACAATAAAGGAGAGCAGTAAAGGTCATTAGAGAAAGGACAGCAGTAAAGGTCATTATAGGAAGGTCAACAATAAAGGTTATCAGAGGAAGGTCAACAAGAAAGGTTATTAGAGGAAGGTCAACAATAAAGGTTATTAGAGGAAGGTCAACAATAAAGGTCATTAGAGGAAGGTCAACAATAAAGGTTATCAGAGGAAGGTCAACAAGAAAGGTTATTAGAGGAAGGTCAACAAGAAAGGTTATTAGAGGAAGGTCAACAATAAAGGTCATTAGAGGAAGGTCAACAATAAAGGTCATTAGAGGAAGGTCAACAATAAAGGTTATCAGAGGAAGGTCAACAATAAAGGTTATTAGAGGAAGGTCAACAATAAAGGTTATTAGAGGAAGGTCAACAATAAAGGTCATTAGAGGAAGGTCAACAATAAAGGTTATTAGAGGAAGGTCAACAATAAAGGTTATTAGAGGAAGGTCAACAATAAAGGTTATTAGAGGAAGGTCAACAATAAAGGTCATTAGAGGAAGGTCAACAATAAAGGTCATTAGAGGAAGGTCAACAATAAAGGTCATTAGAGGAAGGTCAACAATAAAGGTTATTAGAGGAAGGTCAACAATAAAGGTTATTAGAGGAAGGTCAACAATAAAGGTTATTAGAGGAAGGTCAACAATAAAGGTTATTAGAGGAAGGTCAACAATAAAGGTTATTAGAGGAAGGTCAACAATAAAGGTTATTAGAGGAAGGTCAACAGTAAAGGTCATTAGAGGAAGGTCAACAGTAAAGGTAACTGATTAAACAGTGAATTAAAACAGTCATAAGTAAAACTCCTGATGTTTTCAACATTAATTTTGTAACAAATTTTTAGATCACTCTATTTATTTGATATTTGTGTTTCTCTTTTAAATGTTTTCTGATGTTGGAACATGTTGGTTGTTTTAATTCAGGATATCAAAAAATCCTACCAACAACTTCTTAGTAGTGTTCATGATATGGAGCAGCATCATCAACAGGCAGATCTGAAAACCAAGAACATGGAACTTGAGGATGAAAACTTCAAACTCAAGAAAAATGTCTCAGAATATGAAGAAGATAACAATCAGCTATTTTCGACAGTAAGTAAAACCTCTGTCTACAGATCTTTTACACATGCTCATGGTTTATTGTGAAATCACAAACTTGGGGCAAAGGGTTGGGATTAAAGCAGCATTTAAAATCCTTCTACATCAGTATCGATAAGCACTTAATTGTGTTCAGACCAAACGGGGTAAGCAATACAGGCCCAATGGGCATCTTCTTACACTTAGTATCTTATGTCTACATGTCTTTCCCATGTACTCTATCGTCCTGTAATTCATCTCCTCTGTTGATGTCTTTCATGACACATGTGCAGTTCATAAGTATTTACCTGTTGTGATAATGATTAACACAATAACACAATGATTAAAACAGGTGAGTCACCTCTTAGGAAAGGTGAGTTGATATGAAGAGTTGTGGCAAGGGAGGTTCAATCATCCAAAAAGGTGATATTTCATTTTTTAGCTTGTTCATTATGTAAATATTCTCATACTGATGGGAAAGGGAGGACAGTAGTTTTCCTGTGTGTCCATCTGTCCACCTGTTCCTTTGTGACAAAGTTTGTCAGTGTTCATTTCTTCCATTACCATACACTGTAAAGGAATAAAATATCCTAGATAGGTTTCATTTTCTTAGTTGTTGGGTCAAACATAGGTCACTTACTATTTTCAGATATTAATTATCAGTGCTCTAGTAAAATCATTATGTTGTATTAAGTAGAGGGACCTGGAAGGGGACAATACTCAGTAAGCTTGTAAAATCATTTAGTGTAACAGGTTGAGGGATCTGGAATGGACAATACTCAGTAAGCTTGTAAAATCATTTAGTGTAATAGGTTGAGGGATCTGGAATGGACAATACTCAGTAAGCTTGTAAAATCATTTAGTGTAATAGGTTGAGGGATCTGGAATGGACAATACTCAGTAAGCTTGTAAAATCAGTTAGTGTAACAGGTTGAGGGATCTGGAAGGGACAATACTCAGTAAGCTTGTAAAATCAGTTAGTGTAACAGGTTGAGGGATCTGGAAGGGACAATACTCAGTAAGCTTGTAAAATCAGTTAGTGTAACAGGTTGAGGGATCTGGAAGGGACAATACTCAGTAAGCTTGTAAAATCAGTTAGTGTAACAGGTTGAGGGATCTGGAACGGACAATACTCAGTAAGCTTGTAAAATCAGTTAGTGTAACAGGTTGAGGGATCTGGAAGGGACAATATAACCTCAGTAAGCTTGTAAAATCAGTTAGTGTAACAGGTTGAGGGATCTGGAACGGACAATACTCAGTAAGCTTGTAAAATCAGTTAGTGTAACAGGTTGAGGGATCTGGAAGGGACAATACTCAGTAAGCTTGTAAAATCATTTAGTGTAACAGGTTGAGGGATCTGGAACGGACAATACTCAGTAAGCTTGTAAAATCAGTTAGTGTAACAGGTTGAGGGATCTGGAACGGACAATACTCAGTAAGCTTGTAAAATCAGTTAGTGTAACAGGTTGAGGGATCTGGAACGGACAATATAACCTCAGTAAGCTTGTAAAATCATTACTAATGGTGTGATAGGTCGTAGGGGTTGGTAGGGGACAATGCTCTGTATGCTGGTGGTTGGTAGAGGACAATATTCATTACAACTGTTTAAAATGACACATCTGTTGATTTATTAAATAAAATGTAAAGAAAACCAATATGTATTCTTTCTTATTTCAATGTATGTACAACATACATCTAGGTTATATTGTATCATAGAAATACAAAATTGTAATGTACGTAGGTTCCTACTTCAAGGTGACATGGCATGATATAGTGAATGTAAGATTGGATAGAAAAATTGCAGCTCATTACTTTATGTCTAGATACTGTTGGTCCTGGGTAAGATGTTGTCATGGTTTTGTGTTTTCAGATTGAAGAGATCCAGAACAACTTATGTAAAGTGAGCGATAGAGCCATGCAGCTTGAGGCCACACTACGTGAGGAACAACGATGTCATGGACTCACCAAACATAACCTGTATGTCATGTACGGCACCCTCAAAACTAAGGTAGGTCAGAGTATCCACGTCACAGACTCACCAAACATTACCTGTATGTCATGTACGGCACCCTCAAAACTAAGGTAGGTCAGGGTATTCACGTCACAGGCTCACCAAACATTACCTGTATGTCATGTACGGCACCCTCAAAACTAAGGTAGGTCATGGTATCCACGTCACAGACTCACCAAACATAACCTGTATGTCATGTACGGCACCCTCAAAACTAAGGTAGGTCAGGGTATTCACGTCACAGGCTCACCAAACATTACCTGTATGTCATGTACGGCACCCTCAAAACTAAGGTAGGTCAGGGTATTCACGTCACAGGCTCACCAAACATTACCTGTATGTCATGTACGGCACCCTCAAAACTAAGGTAGGTCAGGGTATCCACGTCACAGACTCACCAAACATAACCTGTATGTCATGTACGGCACCCTCAAAACTAAGGTAGGTCAGGGTATTCACGTCACAGGCTCACCAAACATTACCTGTATGTCATGTACGGCACCCTCAAAACTAAGGTAGGTCAGGGTATTCACGTCACAGGCTCACCAAACATTACCTGTATGTCATGTACGGCACCCTCAAAACTAAGGTAGGTCAGGGTATCCACGTCACAGACTCACCAAACATAACCTGTATGTCATGTACGGCACCCTCAAAACTAAGGTAGGTCAGGGTATTCACGTCACAGGCTCACCAAACATTACCTGTATGTCATGTACGGCACCCTCAAAACTAAGGTAGGTCAGGGTATTCACGTCACAGTCTCACCAAACATTACCTGTATGTCATGTACGGCCCTCAAAACTAAGGTAGGTCAGGGTATTCACGTCACAGGCTCACCAAACATTACCTGTATGTCATGTACGGCACCCTCAAAACTAAGGTAGGTCAGGGTATTCACGTCACAGGCTCACCAAACATTACCTGTATGTCATGTACGGCACCCTCAAAACTAAGGTAGGTCAGGGTATTCACGTCACACTCACCAAACATAACCTGTATGTCATGTACGGCACCCTCAGAACTAAGGTAGGTCCCGTCACAGGCTCACCAAACATTACCTGTATGTCATGTACGGCACCCTCAAAACTAAGGTAGTTCAGGGTATCCACGTCACAGACTCACCAAACATAACCTGTATGTCAGCACCCTCAAAACTAAGGTAGGTCAGGGTATTCACGTCACAGGCTCACCAAACATTACCTGTATGTCATGTACGGCACCCTCAAAACTAAGGTAGGTCAGGGTATTCACGTCACAGGCTCACCAAACATTACCTGTATGTCATGTACGGCACCCTCAAAACTAAGGTAGGTCAGGGTATCCACGTCACAGACTCACCAAACATAACCTGTATGTCATGTACGGCACCCTCAAAACTAAGGTAGGTCAGGGTATTCACGTCACAGGCTCACCAAACATTACCTGTATGTCATGTACGGCACCCTCAAAACTAAGGTAGGTCAGGGTATTCACGTCACAGGCTCACCAAACATTACCTGTATGTCATGTACGGCACCCTCAAAACTAAGGTAGGTCAGGGTATTCACGTCACAGGCTCACCAAACATTACCTGTATGTCATGTACGGCACCCTCAAAACTAAGGTAGGTCAGGGTATTCACGTCACAGGCTCACCAAACATTACCTGTATGTCATGTACGGCACCCTCAAAACTAAGGTAGGTCAGGGTATTCACGTCACAGGCTCACCAAACATTACCTGTATGTCATGTACGGCACCCTCAAAACTAAGGTAGGTCAGGGTATCCACGTCACAGACTCACCAAACATTACCTGTATGTCATGTACGGCACCCTCAAAACTAAAATAGGTCTTAGTATCCATGTCACAGGCTCACCAAACATAACCTGTATGTCATGTACGGCACCCTCAAAACTAAGGTAGGTCAGGGTATCCACGTCACAGGCTCACCAAACATAACCTGTATTACATTACAAAGTATTATTGAATGGAATCTAATGATTCATAATCTAAAAAGTCTGTATATGAAAGTATGGTATAATTGACTTTTTACAGTATGACAGACTTTCTCATCAGAAGAACTTGCTTGAGCAGAGATTAGCTAATTCCTCAGCTGTTGTCATGGGAACCACAGATAGACATATTACACCACAATCTTCCACTGAATCAGATCCTGCTCCACCTGCTGAAGAAATTCACATTTATGAAAACGTTGCAAGAAAATTGGAACCATTACCTAACCAATCAAGTGACTCACGGGTACAAAATTTTGCTGTTTCCATGGGTGACCCAGATCATGTGATGTCAGTTCGAGAGCCAGTGGAATCTACACATCCATATGATGATGACCTGCCACAGAACAGGTCAACCACCCCTCGAAATAGCTCTTCCGAAAATGTCCCTTCACAGTATCTATGTAAGCGATGTCTGAATGAATTTGAAGTAGAAAGGGATTTTCTCTGCCATATTGAAAAGTGTTTGATTGATTGACTTCCAAACAATCAGTTATTGCTGATACATGTCAACAGAAATAGTTGTGGTTATAAAAATGTTGCATTAATCTGCAGCTTATCTTAAAGGTTTTACTGTCAAAATGTCCTAAGGGAAAGTCAGGTGTAAAGTGATTAGCAGACAATTCATCAGTGTTCATTTTGTATACCTACCACTTGTGTAACAGTGTTGTAAAAAAATTAAGATTTTAAAGAAGTTATTTTGTTTCATTAACCATAGTTTAACCAGGAGGCAAATAGATATGTACCACTTACTTATTTTTTACTTTTATAGACTTTTAATGTGGAAAAGTCATTGGTTACAAGTAATTGTGTGCTTATGTTTTCCCCCATGGCTTTTTGTCCCACTTCGAACATTAAAAAGTTTCATGATAAAGTATTTGAAGTGTTTTCTGTCTTGGTACATATAAATTCCATAGACCAAGGAGTGATCTTACAGTTTTAAAATTTATCTAAGTTATTTGAATTTTTTGTTCATCAATTTTAATATGATTTTAAACTTTGAAATCACGAGCTTTGGATAAGGTTATGAAGAAGAACCTCTAGTTTGGATGAAACCAGTCAATGTCTCTTAATAAAGATGACCCAACCTGTCTAGATCTTGTTGCAATTGATTACCTCTCTTCTAAGTCCGAACTCTTCAATCAACCTGTTAACCAGGTGACATCCAGGCAAGGGATATTTTTTTTATAATTTTTTATTTTTTGAAGATTTTCAACAATACATGAAACATAACACATCAAACATTCCACTCACACATGGCCATTTTCACTTAGGTACAAAGGAATGTAAATAGAGTAAAAAATGAAAGCCTGACATTAAGATTGATACTAAAGTAAGTGCTATGTTATAGTGTACCGTTTTTAGAGAAAAGGGAAAAATGGGCAAAATAGCAGTAAGAGAGATGAAGAAGGAGAGGGAGGGAGAGGATGAGTATGGTGGCAGAAGGATCTGACAGGGGTTTTATTATTTTATTTCATTTTTGATACATTCAGCTAACAAAGTTAAAAAAGAAAATAATCCAAAAATTATTTAAAATTTCACTACATAGTCTGAAGTAGTCTTTCCCATTTTTTCCATTCCTGTTTAAAATTGGAGATATAATTTTCCCCATATCCTGTAACAATGTATTTTTGAGTGTTATATGTATCTTTAATTAAATTCTTCAAAGCTGAAAGTGACAGACCAGTTTGCAGACATCTTGCCTGATAGATGTAAAGTTTTATAATAAGTAGGACTAAATTGTCAACATTAGTTTTCCTATCAAAGAAACCAAATATGAAGGATTCTTTATTAAAAGCAAATGGAATCAATAATAGATCTAACACTGCTTCAAAGTCAGTTAAAAATGCTTGTACCTCTTGACATTCCCATATCGCATGAATTATAGTCTCAATATCAGTTTTACATTGGTAACAATAAGGGCTGTCAACAAGACCAATTTTATAAAGATAAGAATTTGTGGTTAAAATATGCTGATTGATTCTAAATTGGAGCCATTGTAGTTTGGTATTTTTACTAATTTTAAAGGGAATGGTATAGATTTTTTTCCATATATCATTATTAAAGTCAAACATTTGCTCCCACTTCTTTCTACCTGTAGATACTGTATTATTCTGACATAGAACATGGTAGAAATCTTTAGTTTCTTTTTTATGTCTAAGAAAAATTTCCAAATTCATCGGGATGTATGGATAGTCAACATTCAAATTAGTAATATCTTCAGGTGAAATTACTTTTTTTACAGAATTAAAGATACCTTGATATGTAAGAAAATTTGTTTGGATGCCAAATTTTTGTATGAACTCTTGATGATTGTAGAAAGATTTATTTCTTTTTTCTTTTATTATATCATTGACTATTATTACCCCCTTTCTATACCATTCCCTGAAAAAACACTCTTGTTTTGTATTTTTATTGATTTGTTATACCAAATTGGGGATTTAAGAATATTTGTTCCACTTTGGCTTCCATAGTTTACACCCTTTTCAATTAGCTTGCCCCAACTTAGTAGCACATCTTTCCAGAATAAGTTTTTACAGTTTCTCTGACATTTTGATAAATAGTCAGTACCACAGTTAGCCATAGTGTAGCTATTTCCGTATGTTTTTACAAAAATCTGCCATTTTCCTTCTGTTGTATATAACCTTCGAATCCAAGTTAGTTTTAAGGATTCTATGAAAGATTGTAAATGTAACATTTTGAGCCCCCCTTCAAAATAGTTTTTGATAATAATGTCTCTTTTTATTTTATCTGTTTTACCATTCCATAAAAAATTATAAAGTTCAGTATTAAGTTTTCTGATAAAACGCTCCCCGGGGTTTGGTAAAGAGATAAAAAGATGATTAAGCTGTGATATCAAAAGAGACTTAATTATATGTATTTTTCCTATTGGTGTTAAAATCCTTCTATTCCATATTCTAATTAATGCCTTAAGTTTTACTAGTTTTTTGTCATAGTTTAATTTTGGAATTTGGTGCAGGTCCACGTTAAAATCAATGCCCAAGACTGTAAACTTTGTAATTCCCCATTGCAAGTTCCACTCTGGAAAGTAAGTGTCATTACTGTACTTTTTACTGCCAATCCAAATAACTTGTGTCTTAGTTTTATTTACTTTTAATCCAGAAATTTTGCAAAACTATGTAGTGCCGAAAAAGACTCTTTCATTGATCTTTTTGTACCATCTAAGATAATAAAAGTATCGTCTGCGTACTGAGATAGTAAAATAGGAACATTGTCTACACTTATGCCTTTTATATTGTTATTAATCCTAAATCTTATAGCAAGTATCTCTACACTTAGAATAAATATATCAGGCGCGATTGGGTCACCCTGACGGCAACCCCGCTTTATTTCGAAAAACTTTGAGAGATTTCCTCCCTGATTAATAGAAGATATAGCATCAGTATGTAAAGTCTTTATCCACCTTCGTAAATCATTTCCAAAATTAAAAAAAAAAGCAACACTGTGTTTATAAAGTCCCAACTAACAGAATCAAAAGCCTTTTCAAAATCAATAATTAAAAGCATACCAGGAATTTCATTTTCATCTGCATACTGCATGATATAAATTATCCTTGTATTTTCCCCTATATACCTCCCAGCAATAAAACCAGTCTGATCCATATTAATTAATTTGTCTAAAACCCTTTTTACTCTACCTGCTATTGAACCTGATGCTATTTTGTATATTATATTGAGTAAAGAGATTGGCCTCCAATTCTTTAAAAACTGCCTGGGTTTATCTCCCTTTGGTACACATGTAATTATACCCTGTCTTTGAGTTATAGATAATCTACCAGTCAAATAGCCATAATTAATAGATCTAACTACAAAATTACTTACTCTCCCCCAAAAACATTTAAAAAATTCTGCTGTAAATCCATCTGACCCAGGACTTTTATTATTTTTCATATTTATTAAAGTACTTGAGGCTTCTTCTAAAGTAATTTTACCCTCCAGTGATAATGATTCTGCCCTATCTAGTTTAGGAATATTATTGTTATATATATCTACATATGTATCTAAATCAACATCTTCAATATTAGTATTACTGGAATACAAATTTTCATAAAATTTTTTTACTTCATTTAAGATATCTTCCTGTTTTCTAATAATTTCCCAATTTTCTTTTTCTATCATTGGAATAAATTTTGATGTAAAATTTCTGTTTTCTAAATTAAAAAAATATTTTGAAGGTTTTTCCCCCTCTTCAACCCATCTAGCTTTTGAACGAATAATATTTCCCTTCATTTTATGTTGCCTAATTGTTTCAAATGTTTTCTCTTTTTCTCCAACTAGATTTATATCTACATTGTCACAGGCCCCTAAAGAATTCATTTCTTCAATAAGATTCTTCTCATGTACGTTTTGTTGCTTTTTCTTATAAGATGAGTACGAAATTGTTTTCCCCCTAATTTCCAATAATAATGTTTCTAAAAAAAGTTGATCATTAATTTGAAATTGAATTTCATTGTCAGGAATTATAGTAGGATAATCAGGATTGTAGACAGGAAGAGCATACTGTAATTTAACTTTAGAAATAAGTTTAATTAAATCTAGATACTCTGAGTCATGCAGTAATGAGTTATTGAATTTCCAAAGACCTTTTCCCTTTTTGAACTCATTAAACTTAAAAGATATTGAAGGTGAGGAGTGATCTGAATGATAGCCAGTTTCTATACTACATTTTTGTATATTTCTCACCAAAGTATGATATTAAAATGAAATCAAGACAAGTTTGTTTTGTAGGATTAGTTCTTCTCCATGTGTATCTTCTTTTCTCTGGGTGTTGTTCTCTATAAATGTCTACTAAGTTAAGTTCTTCCATTAATTCAATTATCTTATCCGTAGCCCTTGGATTATTTATCTGTCTATAATTTTGATCATAGTCTAGGTCAGGATTCAACACCAAATTAAAATCACCACATACAATAGAATATTCATTATTAAATTCATTAATAGCATCTACTACAATTATCATAAAAATCTGTGTTAGGACTATAGATTGTTACCAAAGTTACCTCTTTTTCGTCTATCAACATGTCTAATGCAAGAAAGTTCCCTTCTGTATCTTTCTTTTCATTCCTCACCATCATTTCAAAGTTATTATTAATTATAATTGCGACCCCCCTTAAATTTGATCTAAATGAACTTAAATGACAAGAATATCCCCATTCAGCCTGTATAATATTTTGCATTTCCACAGTAAAATGAGTATCCTGGATACAGTATATGTTATATTTCTTATTTCTAAGATATGAAAAAATATCGCTACGTTTACTCTTGTCCCCAAGACCCTGACAGTTAGCTGTTAGTATCTTAATCAGGCAAGGGATATCAGGAACCAACCTAACACCTTTATCAGAACAATGGCATTGGCTCTTCCCTTGAATTTTAATTCAGAATTAGATACAGTAGAACCACATAATGAATTGAACTTAAAACCTTTTGATGAAAATTCAGGCGACTTCTGTAGTTAAGGAGGATAACTTAAATGTACCTCATTGTGATAAATCATTGACTATGTACAACTTTACCATTGTACTGCTACCAATGAGCTTTGCAATCATTAATTGCTTCTGTATTGTTCTGCAACTTTCAACTGAAGCTAATTTGATAGATTTTAGATATATTTTTGTGATTTTTTAACTCAAAATAGAAAACTAATTTGGATCTTAAATTTTTGTATTCCTTCATACTTGGATGTTACTGGTGAAATATTATGACCATGGAACTATACTGTGTAGTGCTGTGCTTATCCATCTGGCATCAACTTTTCTCATTAAACAACTTCTTCTCAATAACCATGGCACCTAGAGTCATGATATTAAATTCAGATGAACAGCCATAAAATTTGTTTAAATGACTGGCCTTGATCCACTCTCAAGGTCACAGAGGTCATATTGGCCAGTAGTGTAAG